TTACTGAGGTCCGGTCGTTTTGGGGGATGACGGGCTATTATCGTCTATTTGTCAAGAACCATAGTACTATAGCTTCCCCATTAACCGACCTAACCCGCCTTGACACCCCTTGGGAGTGGACAAAAGAGTGCGAGGCAGCCTTCAAGAAATTGAAGTATGCTCTGACACACTACAAAGTCCTTAAACTGTCTGATCCTGAGCAACCATTTGTAGTGACTACTGACGCCAGCCAATATGGCATAGGCGCAGTCTTGGCGCAAAAGGAGGGGAAGAAGTTGAGGTCGATCGAGTATATGAGTAAGAAGATGTCATCTCAGAAACTGGTAAGGTCCATGTATGAGTGTGAGCTCTATGCCCTTTATAAAGCGCTGGTCCATTGGAGACACTATCTCCTTGGAAGATTCTTTTATGTAAGGTCTAACCATGAGACATTGTGCTGGATTAAAATTCAGCCTATGCTCTCAAATGCCCTTAAGAGGTGGATTCAAGTGATAGACATGTATGACTATCAACTTGACCCAATTAAGGGAGAGTGCAACGAAGTGGTTGACGCATTATCGCGTAGGGCAGATTACCTCAGTGCGCTAGTGACTGAGTTTCGAATATCCGAGGATATATCTCGATCTACGGTGGAAGCCTATCAGCAAGATCCAGTAATGTCTTCGATCATTCGTAAGTTAGAAGCGAAAGATAAAATAACTTCTGACGAATTTACTGGTAAATGGCTTGTTGTTTCTTGAGAAGGAAGGGAATAAAAGACTGTGTTCCAGATAGAGAGTCTCTTCGTAGTTTATTTTTAGGAGAATGCCATAATGCAACCTGGTCATTTTGGGTATAAAAAGACATCAGCAAACTTAGTGCAAAGATTTTGGTGGCCCGCGATGATCAATGATGCAAAAAAATATGTAGATACTTGTCAGGTTTGTCAACAACGTGACAAGCCTAGAACGCAGGCACCGCTTGGGCTGATAAGGCCCATGCCTATCCCTGCTCGGCCTGGTTCGAGCGTGTCCGCGGATTTCATGGATACTGACCAGCAAAAGTGGTAAAAGACGCGTTTTCGTCATCGTGGACAGATTCACCAAGTATGCCAGATTAATCTCTATGCCAAAAACCGCTAAAACTCACCTTGCCATCAAGTTGTTTTTGTATAACCCGGAACGCGATTTTGGGCTCCCTACATCTATGGTAAGTGATAGGGATGTAAGATTCGCAGCGAACTGTGGTTGTCAACAGCCCAGCAGACGGGCACTGAGCTGCAAATGACGCCAGGGAACCACCCTGAGTTAAATTGTGTTGGACCCGCCGGGATGGCGGTCCGACAGGATGGAGAAGGGGTTGAGGAAGGAGGAAGTGGAGATGGAGCTGGAAAGGACAGCGCAGCTCCGACGCAGACTCAACACCGCACGTACTCCAACAGTGCAAAAATGAAGAATGATCAAAAACAGACAACAGCTGGGGTATAACCCCAGCGGACTGACTGGACTGGACTGGACTGGTACCGACAGTGGTACCGAGCAGGACGGAACTGGACTGAAACAGTGCACAGCCTGTGGGATCAAGCCACGGCCTGGTCCCACAGGCCGAACTGGCAAATAGCCAAATAGGCCCTGGTTGTAGGCCAAGGCAGATGAAGGCCCGTTGCACGATCCTCAGACGTGTAATAGATCGCGAGAGCCATAAACACGCTATCCGCAAAAGCAGCGAAACTCTGCAATAAAGAAAGCTGAAAAATCTAGGATGCGGAGCAAGCTCCATGCGGAGTCCATTAGATGCAGCCTAAGCTACATAATGTCAAATGAAAAGCAAATGCCTGGTATACATATCCTAACTAACAGCAGAGAATGAAATGTAGCAATATACAATCCTAAAGTCCTGGAGGCAATTGCCTCAGTGCTGAAAGGAAAAAGAGCAATATGGCACAAGATAATGTATGTCGCTGAACCACTAAGAGTGGGATGGTCTCAGAGGGGGTGAATGCAGCCTAAGAATCGACACTCCTAAGGGCAGTCACACATGAAGGTGGGATAGGTCATTAGGCTCAAGGTGGGAGAGTGGTAGCGAAACAAAACCAAGGACCCTAACAGATAGACCATCAGGGCGGGTAATGCTCGACAAAAGGATGACACCATACAGGGTCGACCATGGAAAAAAAAGGGGGAGCCTGGAATAGGGTGGAGATATGCCTAACTGAAGACATGCAAGGGCCGGCACTAGGGTGATGAAGGCAGTGGGTGAGGGAAACATGCACACAACTTACCGACTGGGAGAGGAGGGAGCTAGACCTGGGAGCAAGGAAGCCAACATAACGCTACGGTCCCAGTGCCTATGCGATACCAAGGGAGAGCCCAACTCAAAGAGACCCAGGTAAGTGAGAACCATCATGCGAAGATGCAAGGGAATGTACAGGGTAGGGTGGTGGCGTGAAGTAGTCACGTCCAAAGTAGTTGAAGCCGATAAGATGGCTGAAGTCGAGAATGTGACTGAAGTCGTCGAAGTGGTCGATGGCGTCGATGAAGTAGGAGTCGAGGTCGATGTCGAAGCAGAGCCGCAAAACGCTGACCTCCTGAAGAAGAGCTAATGATGGAGTACCTGATGGTGTGAGTCAGTGGGGAAAGATAGAGGATAAGAATGTCAATCATCGTAACGCGAAGGACGACGATAAGTGCGTTGTGGACGCTCGGAGGCGACCATCTGCGGTTGAGGAACGGCCTTAGAGGGAGCGGGCTTGTCCTCAGTAATCTCCTCAGTCGGAGGAGGAGGAAGAGGGTCAGTCGGCTGAGCAGGGGCAGACATCTCAGCACGACGAGCACGATCATATGCACGCACCAACATCCTGGCATGTTACAAGTGCTCGAGGGGCTCCCAAGTAGCCTCCTCATCAGGATAACCCTTCCAACGCACAAGGTACTCGATGCGTGGAGGGATATCGTCGGTCACTCGGCGAGATACGATGTCGGAAACGACGAACTCCTCGTGACCGTCCACCATGATAGGTGGAGGGAGCTCATACGGCCGTCCGGCGAAGCGCTCGGACGGTCTGCGATAAGGACGCAGCAAGGAGACGTGGTAAACATCGTGTACGCGGAGCCTGTCGAAGGTAATCAAGTAGCTTCACACGGAAGCTGACCGGACTAGCGACAGTATCAGAACCAACGGCCTGAAGGATGCAACATGGACCGAAGAAACGACGCCTGAACTTGCGAAGCGTATCCGCTTCAAGCTGTAAGTGGCGTGCGTCGACGAGCACATCGTCACCGACTTTGAATGGATGATCCATTCGTGATCGGTTCGCTCGTGCGGCCATGCGAGTCTGGAATCGGCTAGACTCTCGTGTGCGCGCTTCATAATCGCCGCCATGTGGGCAATCCAGTCGTCAAGCGCAGGACAACGAGTGTCGGGGCACATCCGCGATGGTCGTCGGAAGTCCACGGGTACGCGAGGGTGGTAGCCGAGGTCGCAATAGAAGACATCCCCGTGGCTGGCGACTATATTGCACGCCCGATCACGGTCGGGGGCAAAAACTCGGTCGACGGCCAAATCGGCCAGGTTCGGCCACAGCCGAACGGCCGAGTTTGGTGCAGGATTTTTTTTTTTTT